ATAGAAACAAGCAGCTGGCAGACCCTCAGCAAAAAAAAAAGAAAAAATTACATAGTGCACCTTTAATCAGGGAGGTATTATCCTTCTTCCAAAGATTCAAGTCAAAATAGTCGGCAGCTTTTGAGCTTTACCCGATCTTAGTTTTGGCAACAAAAAAATAACAAGAGCAAATATACACTACTTTTTTGGTTGTAGCCCAATTCAATATTTGAGTTTTTTTCTGAATGTTAGTTTCCTGCAGCTATTTCCTAACCTGGCAACACCTAAAATTGGTAAGTGCAGCTCAAAACGTTTTTCACATTTACCAATTTGGACCGGCTTTCTCTGAAAACAGTGAGGAAAAGAAAGTGTTGTAGAAGTTGTAGTAGCCCAAGAGTTTTCATGACCCTGGAGTTCAAATGCAGGAGAAGTTTAATACACCATCAGTACAGGAGTCACGCCTGGAGACATGGAACACTCAACACACTGAGAGTGTTGTCCATCAAAGTCAAGTCAAGCCTGGCTCTGCTTCTGTTGTAGGGAGCATTATACCTCTGATGATGTAGACCAAAACAGCGGGGATCAGTTGGTAGTGTGGAGCTGGTGTCAGATTCTTTGGTTCTACCAAACAGTTTGGAAAAGATGAGTGGACATGCAGTCAATTAACAGTTTATTTGGTGAAGCACAATATTAAAATAAATATGAAATGAGTATAAAATGGATGAAAGAAAAAAAAAAAAACAAAAAAACAAGGTAAGAAAAAATGATATTTAAAAAAATCCACTTCAGTTAAAATCTGAATTCAAATGGGTCGGGTGCTGCGGTCACTGTCTGAAGGTCCGTGTGGATCTGGTGAGATTGGTCCTTCTGGTTTGGTCACCGTCACACCCCGTAGTTGACTGTAAAAAACGAGAGTAAAAACAAAGTCTTTCAGACTGCGACTAGGACTGTCTTTGACCAGCCACATGCACACCAGGGTTGACTGAGTGACGTCACCTTACTTAGCTCTTTCATGCGTTTGGTTAGAGCCGCCATGTCCCCCGCATCCAGGCCTCCGCCTCCGCTCCGCTCCGGGTTCTCCGGCTCCCGACGCCGTGCTCGACAAACCCTAGGAAAGGGCAGAACACGCCTTTAATTTCTCTCCAGGCCACAGGTTAACTCTCATGCACACACAGATCAGCTGTGACACTTTCCTATACTTAGCTCAATTAAGCGTTGTATCCGTGCCACTGCGTCTGTGCGCCTGGTCCCGTCCTTGCTTCCCGCCGAACTCCGGTGTATTGAGGTCGAGCCGCTGCCGAAACAAAGTGCCTCTTAGCTCTGGTCTGGCACGCCCACAAGCTCCCCCAGACACATCCCTTTACTTAGCTCTTTTCAGGCGTTGTATCCGTCCTTGTCGGCGCGTCCCTGTGCCTGGTCCAGCCGGTCCAGCCTCGCCTGTTCCCGCTGCCCCACCCGTCCGCGTTCCCGCTCCTTCACCTCTCTTTCCCGTCTCTTCCGTTTCCGGTGTCGCGAGTGCACACCCCAGCTCCACCCCCCACTCGTGCCCTCTGTCTGTCTTTTCAAGATCCTGCTGCTACGGCCACAGCCAGTAATACTGGGTGGGAGGGAATGTTCAGTTAGTTCAGTCCACCCAGTCCTTCACTCCAGTATAAAAAAACACATCAAAACCAAAATCACCGCAAATAAAATACGTACAGAGTAAAAAAAAAAAAACAAGGGCTCTTCTCACATTTGACACTGGTACAGCACAGAAATGCAATCTGAGAAATCCAGATCGTGTTAAGGCATCAGCATCTTCATTCTTGTTTTGGATCATTTGAGAGCTTCACCTTTGGCTTCGCCCCAGAAAAACAATGTGACTCTGTGATTGGTTTGAACCTCTGATGGCCTAAGCTGTATGGTAATAGCAGTGTTGGGAAGGTGACTTTTAAAACATATTCCCCTACAGATTACAGATTACATACCCCAAAATGTAGTTTGTAACGGAATCCATTAAATTACTTAAAGTGAGTAACGTAATCTGAATACTTTGGATTACTTGATTTGCTGTAGAGAAACAAAGACCAGGATATCTTCACATAAGATGTTTTGTCTGCTAAAAGAAAATAAAAAGGCCGAGTCTTTACTCAACTTATTGATAGAATAGGAGGAGACACATTCTGCACAGCATGATTTAGTCCTGATAAATCCTGTTTTAGACCTGGTTTAGTCCAGGTTTAGACCTTGTTTAGACCTAGATTTAGACCTGGGTTTAGACCTGGTTTAGTCCTGGTTTAGACCTGGTTTTAGTCCTGCTTTAGTCCTGCTTTAGTCCTGGTTTAGGCCTGGTTTAGATCTGGTTTTAGTCCTGGTTTAGTCCTGTTAAATCCTGATTTAGACATGGTTTAGAACTGGTTGAGTCCTGGTTTAGACCTGGTTTTAGACCTGCTTTAGTCCTGGTTTAGACCTGGTTTAGTGTCCGGCAATGAGTGGAATTACTGAGAAAAAAAAAAGGGATATAGCCCCAAATGTGAAAACAGGTAAATACCGCCGTGTAATCCATTTATTTCAACAAAGTAACTGTGTTCCAATGACCACTCATTGAAACAATAACTGTAACTGAATACAGTTACTCATAATTTGTACTCTGATTACGTAACTCCGGTACATGTAATCTGTTACACTGGGTAACAGTAGAGCTGAACCAGATGGGTTCTAAAGAATTCATAATGCTCACCTGATTATCCACCTCCACATATGGACTGAAACAGGTCGACGTTTGGTGCTAATCTATACCGATTTGAGCAGAGCGCCCCCAGAAAAAAAGTCCAGGGCCGTTTTTTGATTCGAGTCTGCCCCTGACAAATACTTGGCCTTAGTGTATTCTCTGATACTCATACCAGTCTGATACTGCACAGCGTCAAGAAGTAGTAGGTTGTGGTGTTTGACTTTTACTTTTCTACTTAATCCCTTTCTTCCTCGGAGTGTGGATAAAAACAACAGTGAGGCCTGTGGAAAGGCACTCATCCTCGGAGCACATGGCTAATTGCAAAGTAAACAAAGTCTGAGTTCGCGCTTTGTCGGCTACAATCTTCGGAGTTGTTTTACGAAATTCAGTGTCCACACCAAAGGCGAAATAAAGCCATTAAAGAGGGAACACAAATGTCTTTTCTGTTATTATTAGCATGTTTTAAGTGTCTGCAGAGCCTCCACAGTCTGTGGTAATACTTGCATCTACGGCTTCTCGTTCAGGAAAATCATTAGTAAACTGTTAACTCTTAATTACTTCTCATCAGTTAATCATTTATAGATGTATATGTTAATGCTTTGTCCATGGTGAAGAAGTCATCTTACAGCCATTTGTTAAGATTATTTAACACACTGGTTCATCATTTGTACACATTTACCTCTTCATTTTTTCATGTGATTTAATCATTAGTAAATACATTATTTAATGTCTTTGGTCATCATTAGTAAATCATTACTAATTCATTACTACTCATCAACTTTTAATATGTAAAAACATTGTTACACCCAAATTTATCAAATTCTTAACCCACATACTCAACTAATGATTTGTTACTCATTTCTTAATGGGGTTATTCCCCAGTATTGATCAGTTATAAGCACTTGTACTTGGTAGTTAGAATAGGTTAAGCAGGGGGTGTTTACACTTACCACATGACGACCACCCTTCATGGACGCAATATGTTCTTCTAAAGTGAAGCTTGTCTATGCTCTACTAAATATTTACAAATGATTTGTTAAGCCTTACTCATGATTAATTGATCAGTTATAACTGCTTACTTAAGTATTTTGTGGGAGCTATTCTAAAGTGAAGCTTGTCTATGTTCTACTAAACATTTACAAATTACTTATTAAGATTTGTATGAATATGTTAAAAAAAATGGACATGTCATAAAACCACACCATAGAGGGAAAGAAAATAACAAATATTTAACTGGTTGTGTTGAACACTCTTTTCAACAGAGAAGAATAGAATATGCTTGAGTTAATCATGAGTGAGCCTTACACTGCAAAAAGTGCCTGACTAGAAACAAGAAAAAAAAAAATTACTAAAAATTAGACAAATGTTCTTGTTATAAGCAAAAAAAATCTGCCTATGGGGTAAGAAAGTTTTTCTTGCCTAGTTTTAAGAACATTAGTGCAAAAAATAATTCTTATTAAAAAACATTCTAGACAAATGTGCTTAAATGTAGCTCAAAATAAGCAAAATTTTTCTAAATTTAGCCTAGATTTAAGCAAAACTTGCTCATATTCTGTAAAATCTAAGCAATTTTTATGTTTGTAATATTTATATATTTATAATATTTTCTCATTATATACAAATTTCAGGTCTGTGTTGCTAGATTTAAGCAAAATTTACCTATATGCATTTCCTTAATTTAGTCATAAATTAGAAAATTAAAAAAAATAATAATAATCTTAAAATTATGCCCATTCAAAGCTGTAATTTTAAAACAAGACAACCCCAAAAGTCTTTCCTAATTTATTTATCCATGAAAACATGGTATCAAATACAGATGGCTCACAATAGCTACAGTAGAGCAGATTTAAGTAAACATAACTAAAATAAAAAGTAAAACACTCTTAATTAAATTACAAAGTAGTATATTACAAGGAAAACCAAATGTAAGAGCCTTCTTGTAAATGCTAAAACCTCTGGTAGCACAACACAAGTGTTTTGGAAAATTGGTTTGTACATTTTAAGTAATAAAAATAATGAACTAAAATAGTTGCACATTCACTCACTCAGTGATGGACTTCCACTCTGTTATGGCTTTTTTGTATTTTGATGTTGCATCTTTGTCATGGATGGAATCTTGATGGACAAAGTTTGTAGGACTGAGAGCAGAGTGGAAATACACTTTGGTTAAGTGAGATGAAAGGCGTAGTAAAAGGTCATCAGGTACACCAGTCCTTCATTCAGCTTGTCACGTGCAAAGGTGGTCACAGGTGTGTTGCCAATTGCGATCATGCAGTTGTTCTTGCTCAAGAGCAGCACTAGACACGATAGTGGCCGCTTTTGAAGATAGCCTTCAGGGTCCTCAGATGTCTGCGATACAAAACATGATAAGGGTAAGTATCCACTGTTATAAAACACTGAAACACAATACTTCTAAAGAATAACATACACAAAGCTATTCTCACCTTAAGTGCGTGAAAAAAGCTTCACCGCAGGAGCCTAATTTCTTTGATGGTGGTGCATTGGATGGAAAAAGGAGGGGTAGAGCTGCAAACACTGCTAAGGCATGATCAGACAAAAGACAAAACAAGTTACCATCTGTTATAACATTGTTGCATTAGTTTAATAATTGTGTTATCTCACCACTATTGAGTGTCTTTGGAGGCTTCATGGCTTTCTTCATTACCCCATAGAACTTGACTTTTGAAAAAAAGTTTTCCCATCTGTCCCTAGTCTCAGCAGTGTAGTTGGAGTTTTTTGGTTGAATAATTCTCTCTACATCTCATCTAGTACCTGGAAAAAAATGCAAACTGCTTAAAGCACAGTAAAAGTAGAGTAACTAGTTTAAGGAAGTTGTACTTACATGGTTCAATTCTTTGAAACAAGGGTAAACATCCAAAAATGTTGATGGCCTGTCATCGTCTTTTAGAACATCTGATGTGATGAAGCATCGTCTTGAGTCAAATTCCAGGTTGAGCAAGTGGCTGACAGCAGCTTTATTTGCCTTTTTAGCCTTGTACATCTCTTGGAGGGTATTATAGTGTCTGACTTGGCTCTTCTGACTGTCCAGGACGTCAGTGTCAGCAGAACCCCCTAAGTGAGGACATAAAAATGTTGTAGTGTTTTTTTCTTTGAATGAATACAAAGTAAAACTTCATACTGTACCAGCATCATCTTCACTGCTGTCTGGAGGGGGCTCTGGAGTGCTGGCAGCAGCAGGGGACTTCTCCAGAATGATGGTGGATGCTTGGCTTGATCCAGTTAAGATTTCATCAAAGTCTGTTGAGCAAGACTCTTCATAGTTCATGGGACGTTTCTTGAAAGGTGCACTGGCTTTTTTTGGGCTTTTTGATGTTTGAGAGCCTCTTTATGAGCTTCTTGGTGACATGCCCCTGCAAGATAGAGAAAATGGCAAAATGCATAAAAGGGAATCAGAAAAATATTCTTATATAAACAATACTGTGCTAGAAAAGTACTGACCCATTCACTCTCAGGTGTTTTTTTTCCCTTTAACATTGGATAATACTCGACTAATCTTTTCGCCACAGTGTCAACCTCATGTTTGGAAGGGTACCTTGAGTCTTCAAGGGCTCTTGCAATGGACACCATGTTTGTCATGGTGTTTCTAATCAGTCTGCAGAAGAGTTCCTTGGACAAGTCAGAAGTGGTGGAGCCAAGGCGTTTTTGTTCAAAGTAGGATGAACGGGCTTGTTCAAGTTCACTATCTGTGTAGACAGTATACTTTGGGCTGGACATGGCTAGATACTTTAAGGGATTGGGTCTGTCTTCTGGAGAGCGGCTATTTGCAATGGCAGATTGTTTTGATGGCTCCACATCTTTGGCAACACCTTCAACCTAAACAAATAAAAGTATTCTGTAATTAAATCTTTATTGCTTTAAGTTGCATGGAAAGTTTTGATTCATCTATATCAACTATTTGAATCATAAGTAATGTATATACTCACCTTTTCATCACTGTTCACAAGAAACCACAGTGCCCTGTGCCTGAGAACATTTTCTGGACCTGGCAGCAAATCTTTAATGTCATCCCTTGAGCGTGACCATAGTAATTCTTCCCCAACATTGGCAGCTAAAAACACACTGCACAAAAAGCAGTTAATGAAAATTATACTACATGCATTCATTTTCATACGTTCATACTTTCATGGCTACATGCTTAAGCTACTCTAGCTAACCATATTAACTTAGTTAGGTCCTTAGCAAATATTAGTATCAGTATTATGAGCTAAGTGTACTATACAGCACATTAAAAGTCTGATATTGTTGCAAAACATACCTCTTAAAGTGTCTACTGTAATTTCGTCAAGTGTATCCATTGCAGTTATTGCGTGTTAATACTGGGTTCTCTCAAAAAATCTATCTTTTACTGCTCCTGTTGAAACGAGCCTCCAGAAGAGCCGTTACGATATCACAGGAACGCGCCGCGCGCGGTCTTGGATTTGAATGGCAAAGCGCCGCTCTCTGGACTAGTCCATTATGTGTGAGAGGGGTTTGGGTGTAGTTTAGCATTTTAGCTCTATCAAAATCTATTTGACTGTTCTAATGTAAATTGAATGTATAATAAATTAAATGTTCAGGTAGAACCGCTATTTTAGACAGTTTTATTGTACAATTTATTGCATAAGTGATTCGACCCACCGTGAAAGTACAGCGGCATTATGAGTAAAATAGAGGTACTGTAGACAAGTTCGCGCGGCATGTCGTGAAAATATGATTTCGCGTTGCGTTGTTTGCTTTGTATTTGTCGGTCTAACCCTCAAATCTTTACTTAGTCGCATCAACTCTGCCCACAGTCGAAGTCCGGACTTCCGGGTGGTATGTGGAATTGATGGCTGTGGAAAAAAAAATCGAGTGTACAACTCACTCTGGTACCATATCCGGAGATGTCAGTCGACGTATCTTCGCTGTGGCCAACACAGGGCGGCTCCACTCCCGGGAAGAAATTCTGCGCCAGGGAATCACAATACTTGGGAATACAGACCCGGTCTGGAGCACGGGGATGCGGAGGAGCGGGGCCGACCTGCAGGTGACACCGCTGGCAGCGCTGCGAGCATCTGTACACGATCAACACACAGACCAGCACCCGGATGCCCCGCGGAGACGGAGGAAATGCCACGACCACATTCAGACAGTTTGATTTTGGATCATTTTGGTGAATTCAGTGGTATGTCACTGTTCGGCGGGTTTAATGAGAGCACCCTGCTCGCCTCTCCTTCACACCGGGATGAAAACCTTCCTGCGCTGGGACCAGCCCAGACCAACCATCATCTACACTGGATTCACCGGTTGAGCCATCGGATACTGCTCCTGCAGCATACATTCAGGTAATCCTCTGTGTATTATTTTATATATATTATTTGTTTCAGTCTCTATAAGAAAAAGTGTGTAGATCATCTACTATGGAGGTATAAGACAGGGCTGCTGGATTATGGACTATATATTATTATCACTATTATTTTGGTCAACATTGAAATCATGAATATTCAAACGATTATTTTGTTTAGTTACACAATGCATCTATTGAGCATTTCTCTCATCATAGAATTCACTGAGTCTTGTCCTTTAGTTCGACAGAAGATGATCTGCGCGGGGGAGGAAGGGGATAAGACCGTTACTCCGACGGGGGTCGGGAGGGCGGGGGACACACGCTGCCTGTTTACCATGCTTGGTGCTAAATTAAAAAAACAGACACAAGCATTTTTATGACAATGTCGCATAAAAATAAATTAAAAAAAATAAAATATATATATATAATATATATATATATATAATATATATATATATATTATTATATAATGAATAGAGAGAGAGAGAGAGAGAAGATAGATAGATAGATAGATAGATAGATAGATTAGATAATTAATTAATACATTTCTTTGTGGTTGTTTTTTAGACTGGCGTGAATGATGTTGTGGCTGCAATACAGCAATATCAAGGTATGTTGGTGTCTAATTTGAAGAGTCGGTTTTAGAGGATCTTCCAGCAACATCCAGAAAATGAACTTGAGGGGGAAACAATGGCAATGTTTGACCAGATTGAGGATCCATTTGCTACAGTTGCTACAACATACAGACAGGACAGTGTGATCAAAAAAACTTTTAAGTTTGTTGAACCTGAGAAAGTGACAGTGGGGTATACAGCATGCTTCTGAAAAAAAGAAACAAAAAGACTTCTGTCCACTAAACCCAAATATTTTCATTAGGACCCACATCAGAAGTGAAAAACATGTCATCTTAAGGAGAAAGTAAAAACATATTTTTGGAAATGATCACATCAGTCATCATGCAGTGTCTGTTAAATGGTTAAAACTGAAACTGAACAGGAATAAATACATATCTGGTAAAAGTTTAATTATCAGTACAGTTAATGGTGACCTACCTGAGTTTGGACTGATTAAAAACATATTTGTTGTATTATTTTGAGCTTCAGCTGTATATCACTGTTGATAGAGATTATAGGGCATATTTAATTGAAATTCCAAGCATAGCACAAGCAAATGAATTGATCTCATCTGAAAACATTGTAGACTATACTCCATATTACAGTTTTGTTCACAAAGATGTGACCTATGTGCCTTTGAAATATCATCTTGGTGACGTCATTGCATCTTATACAGTTTGATCTGGTGGATTGTGCTTCCATTGATATAATGCTTTGCATTTTCTTTGAGAAAATAAATGGTTGGTATTGATAAACTATCTGTGTAAGCCTGTTCTTATAATAAGATTTTGTTTTTTATTATTTCCTAAATTAAGAAAAAATGTCTTGGTCTAAAGCTGAAGATAATTCAAAATGTATTTGCATCTTGTTATAAGAAAAAATATAACTGTTTTTAGCAACAAAATCTTGCTAGGTTTAATGTCTTAAAATAAGCAATGTTTTCTTAAGAAAATTTTGCTAGACAAGATATTTTTCCTTTTTAGACAAAAAAAAAAAAAAATATAATTTTTTTCTTATAATGAGACAATTTCACTTTCTTTAAATCGACTTTTTGCATTACCTTTGTAAATATTTAGTAGAGCACAGACAAGCTTCACTTTAGAAGAACATATTGCGTCCATGAAGGGTGGTCGTCATGTGGTAAGCGTAAACACCCCCTGCTTAACCTATTCTAACTACCAAGTACAAGTGCTTATAACTGATCAATACTGGGAATAACCCCATTAAGAAATGAGTAACAAATATCATTAGTTGAGTATGTGGGTTAAGAATTTGATAAATTTGATAACAATTTGTTACATATTAAAAGTTGATGAGTAGTAATGAATTAGTAATGATTTACTAATGAAGACTAAAGACATTAAATAATGTATTTACTAATGATTAAATCACATGAAAAAATGAAGAGGTAAATGTGTACAAATGATGAACCAGTGTGTTAAATAATCTTAACAAATGGCTGTAAGATGACTTCTTCACCATGGACAAAGCATTAACATATACATCTATAAATGATTAACTGATGAGAAGTAATTAAAAGTTAACAGTTTACTAATGATTAACAAATGTATTAAATAATGCTTAATAAATGTTATAAAGTGCTACCCTTATTTTAAGTGTTTAGCAAAGATGTATTTTCATATTTTAAGTACAAAAGTTTTGTTCCACTGGCAGATCATTTGACTTGTCAAGTGAAATTTAATCAAATTGTGATAATTTTTTCTTAGTTCAAGTCATCTTCACTTCACTTTTTGCAGTGTGTGGTATGGGATCGGTGAAGTTGCCGATACTGATACCTGAAAAATGTGCAGTATCGGAGCTTTTGCTGTTACCAGTATCAGTTCATTCTTCATTCATGTCAAATGTTAGAGGCTTTGGGAAGAGCAGCTACAGTTGACATTTCCTGATATACTGATGCACATTTGAGTGTCTGTCTGTTGTATTTCACTACACAACAACATTTTATTTGTATTACTCATTTACCATTACTCACTTCCTCATGTTTTCATTGAGGATGGTCAGCTCCGAGTCCTCTGAGGCCCAAACCAGAGCACTCCAGTGTGCTGAAAACTCCATAACTAATGAGCGCTCTTCAGAGTGAAGGCGGTGACACTGCGTGATAATGAGTCAAGCTGCAGTGTTATCTGGGCCTGTGAGACGCGGACAATAGACGATTAATGGATTCTAATGTAACGCTGCCAACAGACAAAACCACTTCCTCTGTGCAGAGAACTCCATCTGGGAGAAGAGAGCGATGCACCTGCCAAACTAAAGCTGGGCCCAAGATGAAGTCTATATTTAACGCATATGCTGATTGTATTTCTCTGTAATTAAATGCTTAGTAAAGTATGGGGAGGCCCTCAAAGGCAAAGTTGAGTCAATTGTTTTTTTATAAGGCCAACTTAATCAATCACGCTGTGGTTCAAGCTTTTAGAATTTATGATAGTTTAAAACCATATTATGCTATTTTCTGATTTATGTTATAGTTTCCTCAGACAGTCCTGGATTTGTGTTTTGTTTCATTCACACATTTAACGCACAAACCTGCAGATTGAGACTGAGTTCTTCTCTTAAACAGAAACACTCGGTTGCACCAGTGAGGTCATGTGGTAATACAGGAAGTGCTTCACTGTGTTATACATTTCACTAGAATCCAGCGGTGGGAACAAGTCGTTGTTTTGCGAGTCTCGTGTAAGTCTGAAGTCTTTGACCTCTAGTCCAAGTCAAGTCCCAAGTCAAAGACTGGCAAGTCCAAGTCTTGAGTCACTGGCCCATAAGTCCAAGTCAAGTCCAAGTCATCTGCTTTGAGCTTCAAGTCATTTCAAGTCTTTAAACCAATATAGCTTAGATGATTTTTGAACTAAATTGTACGCAAAAAATCATGGTATACTTATATAAGAGTTATAGAAATGCTATTGTTTCCTTTTTAAATGTCTTGATGAAATCTTAGTGTGAATCATTACGTTCAGAATAGAATGAATTCAGATTTAAAAGTGCTTAATAACAGTTATGTTGTCATGTAGTTCTCTGTAGTTCCCTCTGTTTTACTGTATTGTACTGTATTTTACTGTATAATGTTGTGTATTACTGTAGTACATTTGTACATTTGAGAATACCATATCACAGTACTAGTACACTCCAACAGGGTAAAGTTAAACCTGTGATATTCTTTCAAGTTGTTGACAAAAAATTTAAAAACTCATGTCGGTAACAGAGGGAATGAAATATGCAGCACTTTTGGGCAATAAATCCAAACAGTGATAACTCTTGGTTCTCACTTCCATATCCTTAACAAACTGGTTTGAATATTTGCTTCATATAGTTTTCTACCATATGGTACAAGATTAGGTTGAAAAACCTCTTACTTTTTGACTCATGAGATTTTTTATGAAGAAAGGTCATGGTAACGGAGGGAAAAGTAACGGAGGGAAAATTGTGCAAACAAGAAGAAGGTGCAGGATTTTACATCATTTGTCAACTTTTTTCTTCTGAATACTTTAATATTACTTCAAAATGAAAGGAAACTATTTCTATAAAAATATGTCAGTTCCTTCCAAGCAATTTTTTTTTCATTTTAAAATACTTTTTTTTTTTTTTTTTTAAATCATGTACCTTCATCAACAGTTCAAAGATGGAATAACACAAGATATGATGAAATACATCCATTTATTGACATGATTTGCAGGTCTTTGAAATTTGGGAAATAATGTTTGTTCCATGTTTCATACATGGTCTGTTTAAAATGTATGGAACTTTAGAACCAAAAATGGAACAGAAAAAAGGTCAACAGTTTCATAAACTAGAGTACATATGTATCTGTTCAATACATTTTTATATCAGATGCATTAACTTGAATTTTGGCCTTACTGTTTACTTCTGCTTGATCGGGCCCACATATATATATATATATATATATATATATATATATATATATATATATATATATATATATATATATATATATATATATATATATATATATATATATATATATATATATATATATATATATATTTAATGAATATATGGGCCTAGTCCAAGTCAAGTCTCAAGTCTTGAAAATAGTGACTCAAGTCCAAGTCATGACTTGCGAGTCCCACCTCTGCTACAATCATTTTGATACTTTCTGCTCTGGAATTGCCAGGGCTGAAATTAGTTAGTTTAGTTTTAGTTTAGTTTATTTTTCTTCGGTCACTTAACAAAATCATAAATTATATTACAATGATTTAACACAGAAATGATTCATGTCACTAAAGTTATTCTAGAAGTTTTAACACTTATTTTGCCAAACCCTTTTTAACACAGAACAGGAGACAAGACGACAGAACTATTTACAGAAAACAACACAAAATTCATCTTTCATGAGTGCAGGAAAGAA